CTGTAGGATAACATGCTGGGGATGGACACACATAGGATAACATGCTGGGGATGGACATATAGGATAACATGCTGGGGGATGGACACATAGGATAACATGCTGGGGATGGACACATAGGATAACATGCCGGGGATGGACGCATAGGATAACATGCCGCGGGGATGGACACATAGGATAAATCATGAAGGGGGATGGACACATAGGATAACATGCCGGGGGCATGGACACAATAGGAGAACATGCCGGGGATGGACAACACATAGGATAACATGCCTGGGTACCCCCGAGGATGGACACACATAGGATAAACATGCCGGGATTGGACACATAGGATATACATGCGGGGGAGATGGACACATAGGATAACATGCCGGGGATGGACACATAGGATAACATATGGACGCATTGGATAACATGCCGGGGATGGACGCATAGGAGAACATGCCGGGGATGGACGCATTGGATAACATGCCGGGGATGGACACACATAGGAGAACATGCCGGGGATGGACACATAGGATAACATGCCGGGGATGGACACATAGGATAACATGCCGGGGATGGACACACATAGGATAACATGCCGGGGATGGACACACATAGGATAACATGCCGGGGATGGACACACATAGGATAACATGCCGGGGATGGACACACATAGGATAACATGCCGGGGATGGACACACATAGGATAACATGCCGGGGATGGACACACATAGGATAACATGCCGGGGATGGACACATAGGAGAACATGCCGGGGATGGACGCATAGGAGAACATGCCGGGGATGGACGCATAGGAGAACATGCTGGGGATGGACACATAGGAGAACATGCCGGGGATGGACACACATAGGATAACATGCCGGGGATGGACACACATAGGATAACATGCCGGGGATGGACACACATAGGATAACATGCCGGGGATGGACACACATAGGATAACATGCCGGGGATGGACACACATGGGAGAACATGCCGGGGATGGACACATAGGAGAACATGCCGGGGGATGGACACATAGGAGAACATGCTGGGGGGTTTACTGGCTGTAGAAAAAAAACATCAAAAGCCAAAAAACAGCCGCTGTAAAAACGTCCCGTGTGCATGAGGGGTAAAGCAAACCTGTGCTTTGTTCCTTCTGCCCATTAACCATCCCAAGTGCCCACTGCTTGTGTGTGTACACTTCTCGTAAATGTCAACTTGGTGTTTAAACCAAAAAAAAAAATTGATTATTCATTTAAAAAGACGACCAATAAGATTCCAATGTAACAGGTACATTAAGCTGGCAAAACATTTGGCAGTTCTGACGAAGCATTTTATCCATCCGAGTTGCATTGACCAGAAGGATTGAAGCCGCCCACCAGCAACCGTTTGAGGCATTGCACAGTTCCAGAAAAGCCGTGGTCTGCTTGATCCTTTGGCTGAAATTTCTCGATAATTGCCTTCGGTATGGTAAGCATTTGGGCGATTATAAATTGAGGTTGTTGAGTTTCGGGTAGCACAGGGGTCATATAGTGACGATGCTGGGGTGTTATTTGTTGGGAGGCCCATTGACAGAGTATCTGTGTGTCAGCTGCGGTGCGGTTATTGGCTGGAAGACGGGATTTGTGGTCAGCTTGCTGGATGGAAATTGGGAGATGTGTCATTGTTAAAGGAGCAGTCCACTGAAAACTGATACTTCAATAGGTGATGGATAGTTGAGGCCCCCCCAATATACTCGTCAGGATAGTGTATGTGTTAGAACATTTGTCAGTTTTTTGTTTTGTTTTTTTCTTTTATTCTTTTTTCTTTTTCTCTTTCTTCTTCTTTCTCTTTCTTCTTTCTCTTTCTTCCTCTTTCTTCCTCTTTCTTCTTTTTCTCTTTCTCCTTCTTTTTCTCTTTCTCCTTCTTTTTCTTTTCTCCTTCTTTTTCTCTTTCTCCTTCTTTTTCTCTTTCTCCTTTTTCTCTTTCTCCTTCTTTTTCTCTTTCTCTCTTCTCCTTCTTTCTCCTTCTTTCTCTTTCTCCTTCTTTCTCTTTCTCCTTCTTTTTCTCTCTCCTTTTTCTCTTTCTTCTTCTTTTTTTTTTTTCTCCTTTTTTTTCTCCTTTTTCTTTCTTTTTTCTTCTTTCTTTTTTCTTTTTCTCTTTCTTCTTTTTTCTCTTTCTTCTTCTCTTTCTTTCTTTTTTTTTCTCTTTCTTCTTCTCTTTCTTTTTCTTTTTTTTTTCTCTTTCTCTCTCTCTCTCGCTCTTTTCTCTCTCTCGCTCTTTTCTCTCTCTCGCTCTTTTCTCTCTCTCGCTCTCTTTTTTCTCTTTTCTCTCGCTCTCTTTTTTTTCTCTTTCTCTCGCTCTCTTTTTTTCTCTTTCTCTCGCTCTCTTTTTTTCTCTTTCTCTCGCTCTCTTTTTTTCTCTTTCTCTCGCTCTCTTTTTTCTCTTTCTCTCGCTCTCTTTTTTCTCTTTCTCTCGCTCTCTTTTTTTCTCTTTCTCTCTCTCTTTTTTTCTTTCTCTCTCTCTTTTTTTCTCTTTCTTTTTTCTCTTTCTCTCTCTTTTTTTCTCTTTCTCTCTCTTTTTTTCTTTCTCTCTCTCTTTTTTTCTCTTTCTTTTTCTCTTTCTCTCTCTCTCTCTCTTTTTTCTTTCTTTTTCTCTTTCTCTCGCTCTTTTTTTCTTTCTTTTTCTCTTTTCTCTCTCTCTCTCTCTCTCTCTCTCTCTCTCTCTCTCTTTTCTTTCTTTTTCTCTTTCTCTCTCTCTCTTTTTCTCTTTCTTTTTCTCTTTCTTTTTCTCTCTTTCTCTCTTCTTCTTCTTCTTCTTTTTTTTTCTCTTTCCCTCTCTTTCTTCTTTTTCTTTTTTTTTTTTTTTTGGTGCTATCCTCTGTGAGGATATTTTTGTACATATTTTGGCTGCTGTTGGACTTCAAACCCCACAGTTGTTTGTGTCCTTCAGGATCCTTACCATTGGTATGTGTTAGAGTTCCCATATCTGCCATGGCCATCATTATTGGATGACTCTCTTTTTAATGTTTATATTGTAGGTGTTGCAGTGGGAGGAATAGGGACTCTTGTAAAAGGAGTTGTGGCACTCCGAAGTAGACTGTGTGCTAGGTGATAAAATCTCAACATTGGAGTCCCCAGGAGATAGATGGAGCGAGAAGGTGACTCTGCACACTAGATTCCCCCTATAACACAAACAAGACTTTGAGTGTACTTACCCTTTAAGAGGTGAAGTGGCCAACTTAGCACACACTTTAAACCATGAACGCCAGTGGTGGGAAATAAACTCCCCCAGAACGTTGTGGTCACAGACACTTCCACAAGATGTGCCTGGAGTGTACACTACAGCCTTGTCCTCTCAGCTGCTCTGTGGATTCATCGGGAAGAGAGAAAATCTTTACCGCCCCATACGGTGAGTGTCTTCTATACCGATCTTCGTTATTCTGTGGTGAAGACTCCGTGTTGGGGACGGATTCATGTTTTACCTTGAAATGAGATATTCTGTATTAATCCAATATTTTCTCTTCCCCAGTCACAGACCGTGAAGTGTGATTATATATATATTATTATAATAATTATTATTATTTATTTGCATGGACGGGGAGGTTTGATTCTGAATTATGAAGGAAAGTTGGGCTTCGGTGGTTTTAAAGTGTTACTAAACCCCCAACAGTGCAATCAGTCTGTAGATACAGTAAAGCATGCTTGTTATACTCACTGTGGGACCTAAGGGGTTAATCCTCTACATTGTGTAAAAAGGCTGTTTGCTGCTGACTTCTCTGATCCTCCCCTTCTTCCTGTGTCCTCGCTTATCTCCTGATAAGACATATGGTGTGGAGTCGCTCTGTACATGCTCAGTTTGGTGTGTATTGCTAGAGGTTTTTCTTTTCTTCTTGGAGTGCATGTGATCAGCACAGGGCCAACAAGCACTGTCCAGAGGACAGGGGTTCTGCATCCTCTTAAAGCGGAATGGAACCCCCCCCCCCCCCCACATGCTTTAACTAGTGCTCAGCTGGACACTGATAGAAGTCACAAGACTGCTATAACTGCTGATGGGAAGAGGTATTTAGCAGTTTAGATTTACTAAAATAATTGCACTTCCATGTTGTATGTATTGTGGAAGACCGGATATAGTGAATGCAGGGTGCGGGGAGACCGGATATAGTGAATACAAGGTCCGGGGAGACCGGATATAGTGAATGCGGGGTCCGGGGAGAGCGGATATAGTGAATGCGGGGTCCGGGGAGAGCGGATATAGTGAATGCAGGGCCCTGGGAGAGCGGATATAGTGAATGCAGGGTCCGGGGAGAGCGGATATAGTGAATGCAGGGTCCGGGGAGAGCGGATATAGTGAATGCGGGGTCCGGGGAGAGCGGATATAGTGAATGCGGGGTCCGGGGAGAGCGCATATAGTGAATGCAGGGTCCGGGGAGAGCGCATATAGTGAATGCAGGGTCCGGGGAGAGCGGATATAGTGAATGCAGGGTCCGGGGAGACGGGATATAGTGAATGCGGGGTCCGGGGAGACGGGATATAGTGAATGCGGGGTCCGGGGAGAGCGGATATAGTGAATGTGGGGTCCGGGGAGAGCGGATATAGTGAATGTGGGGTCCGGGGAGACGGGATATAGTGAATGCGGGGTCCGGGGAGACGGGATATAGTGAATGCGGGGTCCGGGGAGACGGGATATTGTGAATGCGGGGTCCGGGGAGACAGGATATAGTGAATGCGGGGTCCGGGGAGACAGGATATAGTGAATGCGGGGTCCGGGGAGACGGGATATTGTGAATGCGGGGTCCGGGGAGAGCGGATATAGTGAATGCAGGGTCCGGGGAGACGGGATATAGTGAATGCAGGGTCCGGGGAGACAGGATATAGTGAATGCGGGGTCCAGGGAGAGCGGATATAGTGAATGCAGGGTCCGGGGAGACGGGATATAGTGAATGCGGGGTCCGGGGAGAGCGGATATAGTGAATGCGGGGTCCTAGGTTTAGTAACAGTTTAAGCACTGTGCAGTATTTGTAAGCTGTGGAGTGGACTATAAGTGTTGGTTCCATTCCACATGGAGATATTGTAAGGGTTTGGTTTTCTGCCATGGGGGGACTGTAAGGGTTGGCTTGGCTTTGTGGAGGTTCTGCAAGTTTTATTTATCTTTTGCCATTCAGTGTTAAGAATTGGTTTTGTATGAAAAATCAGTAAATGTTGGTTTTGTATCATGGAGGGGTTGCAAAGATTAGTAGTATACCGTTGAGAAACAGCAAAGGTTGGGTTTTATTATGAGGGGGCAGTAAGGGCTGGTTCTGTACTACTGAAGGACAGTAAAGGTCTGCTATATAGCTGTTAGACATATACCAGGGAGGCACTCCAAGGGTTGCTTCTATACCATGAATGAAGGGTCGGTTCTGTACCATGGAAGGACAGTAAGGGTAGGTTTTGTACCAAGGAGGGACAATAGGGGTTGGTTATATACCACGGAGGGACAATAGGGGTTGGTTGTATGCCGTGGAGGAACAATAGGGGTTGGTTGTATACCGTGGAGGGACAATAGGGGTTGGTTGTATACCGTGGAGGGACAATAGGGGTTGGTTGTATACCGTGGAGGGACAATAGGGGTTGGTTGTATACCGTGGAGGGACAATAGGGGTTGGTTCTATACCGTGGAGGGACAATAGGGGTTGGTTGTATACCGTGCAGGAACAATAAGGTTTGTTCTTTACCGTGGAGGAACAATAGGGGTTGGTTGTATACCGTGGAGGGACAATAGGGGTTGGTTCTATACCGTGGAGGGACAATAGGGGTTGGTTGTATACCGTGGAGGGACAATAGGGGTTGGTTCTATACCGTGGAGGAACAATAGGGGTTGGTTGTATACCGTGGAGGAACAATAGGGGTTGGTTGTATACCGTGGAGGAACAATAGGGGTTGGTTCTATGCCGTGGAGGAACAATAGGGGTTGGTTCTATACCGTGGAGGAACAATAGGGGTTGGTTGTATACCGTGGAGGAACAATAGGGGTTGGTTCTATGCCGTGGAGGAACAATAGGGGTTGGTTCTATGCCGTGGAGGAACAATAGGGGTTGGTTCTATGCCGTGGAGGAACAATAGGGGTTGGTTGTATACCGTGGAGGAACAATAGGGGTTGGTTCTATACCGTGGAGGAGCAATAGGGGTTGGTTGTATACCGTGGAGGAACAATAGGGGTTGGTTGTATACCGTGGAGGAACAATAGGGGTTGGTTCTATGCCGTGGAGGAACAATAGGGGTTGGTTCTATACCGTGGAGGAACAATAGGGGTTGGTTGTATACCGTGGAGGAACAATAGGGGTTGGTTCTATGCCGTGGAGGAACAATAGGGGTTGGTTCTATGCCGTGGAGGAACAATAGGGGTTGGTTCTATGCCGTGGAGGAACAATAGGGGTTGGTTCTATGCCGTGGAGGAGTAATAGGGGTTGGTTCTATGCCGTGGAGGAACAATAAAAGGGAGTTCTGTAACATAAAGGGACTCTTTAAGGGTTGGTTCTTCATCATAGGGAGACTTGAATGGATGGTTCTACACCAATGAGATACTGATTGGGTTGGTTTTGTATGGACCTAATGGTTATATACCATGGAATGACAGTAACTGTTGGTTGTACTTCATGAAGAGACAGTAAAGGTTGGATCTGTACCATAGAGAGGGCAATATGTGTTGATCCTATACCATAGAACGACACTAATATTTGGCTTTGTTTCATGGAGGGGACAGTAAGAACTGGTTCTGTACCACAGGGGGAATAAAAATTGTTGGTTCTTTATAAATTAGACCCCTTCTTTTTCCTCCATGGGACAGAACCAACATTCATGGTCTTCTTTATGGTAAATGTTTTCAGAGTCATATATTCTTCCAAATGAATCCATACAGAAAATGGTGAGTGAAAGTTGTGAGAAAACATTTATGAATAGATCCCCAACGATTGGTTCTGTATCATGGATACAGTAAGGGTTTGTTCTGTCCCTTGGAAAGACATGAAGGCCAGATTTACTGTGTTCAGTACGCATGTAGCTTTTTATTATAATGCACATGTATAGGTGTGAATGGGCCTATAGAATTTCCTTCATGTCAGACTGCAGTACATATACAGTGCTCAGCATAAGAGTACACCCCCTTTTGAAAAGTAAGATTTGAATCAATAATTGTTGTGTTATGATCAACACAAGAACAATTTCCAGAATTTTTACAAAACTAAGTTTAATAATATAAAATAAAATAGGTTAATATAACTTCATTACAAATCCTCAGTTTTGCTCAGATTAGTTAATGCAAAAATGAATCCACCCGACAACAAACACTCCTCCATCTAGTATATTGTATGACCTCCATGATTTGTGAGGGCAGCACCAAGTCTTCTAGGCATGGAATCAAGTTGGCGACACATTGATCTTTTTCCATTCTGCAAGGACGAGGCTGGATGGAGAGTGATGATCAACTTGTCTCTTCAGAGTTCTCCATGGGTGTTTGATTGGGTTCAGATCAGGAGACATACCTGGCCACTGAATCACTTTCACCCGGTTCTTCTTCAGAAATGCAACAGTGGCCTTAGATGTGTGTTTTGGATCATTGCCATGTTGGAAAAGTGCAATACGACCGAGGGCATGGAGTGATGGGAGCATCTTCTCTTTCAATATAGAGAATTCATGACACCATCAATGAAACCAGCAGCACTCATTGGTTCTCTACCATAGAGGGTCAGTATGGGTTGGTTGTACATTGAGCAGTAACCATGAGGTTTAGTTGAATATTTTCCAGTCTGACGTTTGATCGCTCACTCTGCTTTTATAATGTTTGATTTGTTTATTAATGGTACAGTATACAGCTTTATATAGTGAAGGTATGGGGTTTGGTATACTCTGTCCAACATACAGTGTGCTGTATCATTGGGTTCCATATTATACAAGAATTGTCATCTTTGGCTCTACATAGTATAGGCACTCTGAGATGTACAGGGAGTGTAATGTTTGCTTGGACACAGAAGGTTGATTGTACACTGTGCAGGGATGAGCTTTGCTCATGTACAGGGTTTTGTTCAGGGATTGAATATAAAATATGGGCAGCACAGTGGCTAAATGGTCAGCACGTCCGCCTGGCAGTACTCGGGTCATTGGTTGAATCCCAACCACAAAACCACCTGCCTGAAGTTTGCATGTTCTCCCTGTGCCTGTGTGGGTTTCGTCTGGGTACTCCAGTTTCTTCCCACACTCCTTGCTGGTAGGTGAACTGCCCCTAGTATGTGTATGTATGACTAAGTTAGGGACCTTAGATTGTACGCCCCTTGAGGGTTAGGGATGAATGATATGAATGTACAATATATATGTATTAATGTGTGTGTGTGTGTATGTGTGTATATATATATTAATGTGTGTATGTATGTATATGTGTGTGTGTGCGTATATGTGTGTGTATATATATATTAATGTGTGTATGTATGTATATGTGTGTGTGTGTGTATGTGTGTATATATATATATTAATGTGTGTATGTATGTATATGTGTGTGTGTGCGTATATGTGTGTATATATATATTAATGTGTGTATGTATGTATATGTGTGTGTGTATGTATGTATGTATGTATGTATATGTGTGTGTGTGTATGTATGTATATGTGTGTGTGTATGTGTATATATATATATATATATATGTGTGTGTGTGCGTATATGTGTGTATATATATATTAATGTGTGTATGTATGTATATGTGTGTGTGTATGTATGTATATGTGTGTGTGTATGTGTATATATATATATATTAATGTGTGTATGTGTGTGTGTATGTATATATGTGTGTGTGTGTGTATGTATATATATATATATATATATTTGTGTGTGTGCGTATATATGTGTGTGTATATGTATATATGTGTGTGTATGTGTATATATATATTAATGTGTGTATATATATATATATGTATTAATGTGTGTATGTATGTATATGTGTGTGTGTATGTGTATATATATATATATTAATGTGTGTGTGTATGTATATATATATATATGTGTGTGTGCGTATATGTGTGTATATATATATATTAATGTGTGTATGTATGTATATGTGTGTGTGTATGTGTATATATATATATATATATATATATATATATATACACACACACATACAGTGCTGCGTAAATTGATGGCGCCATACAAGTACCTGTAATAATGAAGTATAATAATATAAAGTGAGCATTCTGCATTGTGGATGAGCTCAGAAGTGTGATTATTAGAGCATTTGTGGGGTCAGCTCTGTATCCATCATGGAGGTTTGGTTGGAAATGTATGAATTGGTTGAGCATTGGGCAAAGACTGAGGTTTGGATGTAGACTTTGGTTGGGCACTGGAGGAATTGTGAGTTCTGGCCATACAATAGGCAGGGACTCGGAGTCTTGGTCATGCACAGTGTGGGAACCGAGGCCATGTGTTGTATGCGCACACTGCAGGGGTTTTTGCATGGATAGTGGTTCACTATTTGTGCAAACACTGAAATTTGCTTGTACATTGTTCAGGGACTATGCGGTTTGCTTGGACATTGTGCAGGGACCATGCGGTTTGCTTGGACATTGTGCAGGGACCATGCGGTTTGCTTGGACATTGTGCAGGGACCATGCAATTTGTTTGGACATTGTGCAGGGACCATGAGGTTTGCTTGGCCGTTGTGCAGGGACCATGAGGTTTGCTTGGACATTGTTCAGGGACCATGCAATTTGTTTGGACATTGTGCAGGGACCATGCGGTTTGCTTGGTCATTGTGCAGGAACCATGCAGTTTGCGTGGACATTGTGCAGGGACCATGCAATTTGTTTGGACATTGTGCAGGGACCATGCAGTTTGCTTGGACATTGTGCAGGGACCATACGGTTTGCTTGGCCGTTGTGCAGGGACCATGCTCTTTGCTTGGCCGTTGTGCAGGGACCATGCTCTTTGCTTGGCCGTTGTGCAGGGACCATGCTCTTTGC